GTGTGTGTGTGTGGCCAGCTCAGCCCACCAGGGGGCAGGCTGGCTGGCATGTGGTGCTGGAGGATTGAACCGTGGTCCCTGTGCTTTGCCAAGCTTGTTTCAAGTAGGTGCTTTAGACCACTGAGCCATCTCTCCAGCCCCCATTGGCTTTCTTTATGGAAAGTAGCACTATAATATTTTGGAGGACTAAATTTCATATTTTAATTAAAACCCTTGAAGTTTTGTAACCTAATCTGTGAAAACGTGCGTATTCCGCAACTGAATCTCCAAGACGTGGACACACCATGCGGCTGCCCCGCAGTGCAGACCCAGCGCATCCCGGTACCTCGCCTACCTGCCCAGAGTTATCGTCCCTCTCAGCCACGCATCTGTCCTCCAGGGCCACTGCAATCCCCACATCTAACACGGTAGATTCTTTTTCACTAGTGGTGTAAGTTCTGCATGTGGCCTAACATATATTAGTGAGGACTGTCTACACTTCTTCTTGTGGGCATACTTTATTTTTGTTGTCACATATTCCTTTTTGTTTGTTTTTGCGATACTAGCGATTGAACTCAGGACCCTGTGCTCGCCAGGCAGGTGCTTTTGTTGCTGAGCTACATCCCCAGCCTCATGTACTCTTTTTAAACATATTTTATTTTTATTTTCATATAGTGTTTTTTTATTGGCAAACCACATTATATCAGCAGTCTACTGTTGATAAAAATTGAGATATTCATACCTTTAGTGTATGTTTTTAAAAACATTTATTAAAATTTTTTCCAGTCTGATTTTATTGGTACATTTTAGGTATATATAGTGACCACACTCATCATAGAGAATTTGAACCTGTGCATGATACAACTGGGTTCTGTGTTCCCCTTTCACTTCTGCCTTCAACCTCCCTCCCTTCCCAACTTACAAGCTCTCCTTCCATTTTTTCCTCATGTTTTTACTTCTCTCTCCTTCCTTCCCCTCCTTTGCTTCCTTTCCCACTTGAACGTTTTCTTCTTAACTCCCAGTGTCTATCATACAGTTTCATCCTTGTTGACACTTTCAGTTTCTCGCACCAGAGAAACAGCGTGGCGTTTCCACATGTGCGTCCAGTTTACTTCACCGTAAAGCACGGCCCAAGGCGCCTCCGCCTTTGTTGGTGTGTGTTTCCATGCACACCAGGGCACGTGCACTTTGCTTGGCCGTGCGGCGAGATGTTACATGAGATAGAGCCTGGAATCGTCATCAAACCAGTGCGCCTCACGGTGGAATAGGAGGAGCGCTGGGGGCAGCGTCGTCTAGGACGCGCACTTTCCTCCCTGTGGAAGGGCTCTGTCCACCTTTACTGTTTGCACCTGTCTCAGTTACTTTTCTTTCCTTGCTGGGACAAAATGCCTGACACCAACAATGAAGGAAGGAAAGGCTTATTTAGCTCACAGTTGGTGGAGGTCTTAGTCCATACTTGGCTGGTTCCAAGGTGGAGCAGCACATGGCAGAGGGCAGCTGTTCATGGTAGCAGAAAACAGCAAAGAGTAAAAGCAAAAAAGGAGGGCAGGAAGCCGGGGAGATGGTTTAGTAGAATAAGCACTTCCCAGGCAAGCCCAAGAGCCTGAGTTCAATCCGCAGTTCCGCAAAAAAAAAAAAAAAAAAAAAAAAAAAAAAAAAAGAAAGACAGAAGAAGGAGGGCAGCGGCTGCAGCAGCTAGCAAGCCCCTCTCCCTCCTTATACTGCATGCAGGCTCTCAGCCCCAGGGTGGGGGTAGCGCTCACACCCATAATCCCAGCCCTGGATCATGAGTTAATCGAAACATAGAAGCTGCGTGAGGCTTTGGTGGGACACCTGCACACAAACCATAGCAGCGGACAAATGGTTTTCTTGCGCAAGTCTCAGTCCCACTGCAGGCTTGAGTGTTCAAGGTGCTGCCAGCTATTTCTATTTCACTTTGCCGTTTCCATTGTACTTGCTGGCAGATCTGTGTCAGGAGCTTGAGGCTTTTACCTTCCTGGTAACAGTTATAGATAGAGTTGAACATCATGTTTCGTGTGTGCTGTCTTTTCTCTGGTCTTACACCAGTGACTTTGGCTTTGGAAACATAACTTACTTTGGCCCAGTAGTGTGATCCACCTAATGTGTTTCGTCTCCCACGAGGAGCCTCAAGTGTACATGACTAGCGCATTTTCTTACCCTGACCCGATAGGATGGCACACTCTGGGTGCCTGTGAAATTTCAGGACGCCATGCAGAGCTAAGTACAGCCCATCCCTTAAATAGAACTCTACAAGCCATCCCGAAGGTCCATACGTAAGAAACTTGTGTTGTTAAAAGGTGACTCAGTTTGGCAATTATTTGTTATGAGCAGCATTCTGCCTGGTCATTGTGTGATCTGTGGTGACGGAGAGAACATTATGCACCAATCTGCCTTGTTGCAAATGTTTTGTTTCCTCATCAAGAGCACAGATGTTGTTTTTGTTTATGCTGTGATGTGTGTAGTTTGTGATGTTGGCCTCTGTGTTGATTTGCCCGCTGCAATACACAGATTATTCCTGCGAATTTTATGACATATATTTATGCTCACGGCAGGAAATTTGCTTGCTATCACTTTCCTATTATCCCACCTTCCTGACACATCGTGGGAGTGTCACCCTAATTTATTAAGGTGTGACATCCCCTTCAGAGGTGAAGGATAGGAGCACTGCGTGGAGCATATGAATTGCCTATACACATAGCACTCTTACTCAGCTTCTTAAAATCTCCACTAGGGCTGGTGAGATGGCTCAGTGGTCTAAAGCACCTACTTTAGAACAAGTTTAGCAAAGCACAGGGACCGCGGTTCAATCCCCCAGCACCACATGCCAGCCAGCCCCGCCCCCTGGTGGGCTGAGCTGGCCACACACACAGAAATAAAATAATTAAAAAAAAAAATCTCCACTAAAGGGGAATGAATCTTAAAAATATATGAATTGCATTAACACAAGTCTGTGTATCTGATTTCTATGACAAAATACCACACTCACAACCCGCATTTCAAAACTGTGAAACTAACGCACTGCGTGAAAAGGTGGAGTTTCAGCGTGCATCATGTGCTGCGGGAAGTACATCAGGAAACATCTTTGTTCAGCATGAAGAAGATGATGTTTCAAGAAAGCCAGAGAGGGCAGGTGACATTTAGCTGAGGCTCTAGGAAGAGGCAGAATTCACAAGACGTTGCAGAGCACGAGCAGCAGAGGCGGGCGCATGAACGTTCATAGCCTGGTTGAGAAACAGCAAAGAAATTTCTATACAGACAGCATAGAATCTTGATTCTTGAGGACGCTTTGAGAACGAAACATCATTATGCCACTGGCGTGTTAGCTTTGTGTAATTCCAGTTGTCTCAGTCATTTTTTGCATGAGAAGCACGCTCGGAGCAAAGAACTCACGGGCTGGGAATGGCTGGGTGCAGTGGGGACGCCGGCTCACGGTCTTCTTGGCCCCAACGCATTTCCCACGATCAGCGCCCTCAGAGCCCCCTTGACGTCCTTGTTCCTCAGTGTGTAGATAACAGGGTTTAAGAGTGGGGTGACAATGGTGTAAAACAGAGAGACAAACTTGCCCCGGGTTTTGGACCTGCTCTTGGCTGGCTGAAGGTACATGAAAATGATGGTCCCGTAGAAGATAACTACGACCAGCAGGTGGGAGGAGCATGTCCCGAAGGTCTTTCTGCGCCCCGCAGCAGACTTGATCCTCAGCACGGCCTGGGTTATGAAGCCGTAGGAGACCAGGATGAGTGACACAGGGACAACTAGGAAGACCACACTGGCCACGAAGAGCTGAGCCTCGTTGAACGTGGTGTCCCCGCAGGCCATCTTGATGAGCACTGGCACCTCACAGAAGATGTGGTCCAGCCTGCGATGGCCACAGAGGGGCAGCTGCAGTGTGAGGGAGCACTGGATGAGGGAGGTCACCAGGCCACTGAGCCACGCCGTGCTGGCCAGGGACACGCACAGCCGCGGGTGCATGATGGCCATGTAGCGCAGCGGCTGGCAGACAGCCGCGTAGCGGTCAAACGCCATGACTGCCAGGAGGATGCACTCCGACGAGCCCAAGCCCATGGCCACGTAGAGCTGGGCCACGCAGCCTCCATAGCTCATGGTTTTGTCCTTCTTGTTCATGGTGACCAGCAGCTGAGGAGCTACGCTGGTGGTGAAGCAGATGTCCACCCAGGAGAGGTTGCTGAGGAAGAAGTACATGGGCGTGTGCAGCTTGGGGTCCAGGCATGTCACCAGGATGATAGCTGTGTTGCCCAGGAGGTTCAGGAGGTAGAAGACCAGGATGACAACAAAGAGGAGCCGCTCAAGCCGGGGCTGATCAGAGAATCCCAGCAGAAGAAAGCCCCTCTCGGAGCTGCTATTTGTTTCTTCCATTTTCCTGGAGCTTTGGTTTCTAGAATGCTCAATGTTCTGGGGAAAGAAGGAAGTGAGGGCCACACTGGGGCCCGTATTTTTCTGTCTGGTCATTTTCCCCACACACCCCTTGGCCCTCTTAGAAAGACCAACACCTTGCTTGATGTACACCTTTTGGCGGAACCACTAAGTTTTTCTAGTTTCCTGGGATAAAATCTCATACAAGCAACAGAATAATTGCTTAAATACTGTAAAATTTATTTTATTTGTATTCATTTATTCTTTTTGTCTATTCTTATTCTTTTTGTAGTTTGCCATTTTAAACTGATATATTTGCATGTTTAAATGATCTAATTATGCAGAAAAGCAAATTATCCCAGTGGTTTTTCTTCATGTAAATGTTTTATTTTATAGTCATGTAAGTCTAGGCCAATATTCAAAAGCTTCCATCAAAGGTAAGTGCAGGGACCCCCAGGGACCCATCCCCGGGTATGCTGAGCTGGCCACCAAGTCCGGGTGTAGTGGCACACGCCTGTAATCCCAGCACTGGGGAGGCTGAAAATGGTGGATTTCCACGATCCACCACGAGGATCACCACGAGTCCAAGGTGCATAGTGAAACTCTGTACCAAATATAAATTTTAAAAAAAGTTTCCATTAAAATGATAATGTTAAATTCTGTACCAAAACACAGTGCACAATATGCAGAATGAAGGATACAAACATACTACTCCGTATCTCACTCTGTAAAATTGTAGGAGATGCCAAGTAAAATGAATGAGAAATGTTAGCTAAACAGAAGCCTAGGAAAAAGCAAAATGCTTAGCCGTAGTTAGCCATGTGGCCTCAGCAGTGCGACATGCAGTCCACGTGGTTATCTGCAGAAAAAAAAGCTCGCTTTAAGTATGACAGTGTAAGAGGAAGTGCTCAGAGAGAATCCCGCCTTGCCCAGAACTCACGCAGGAGCACGGGAAGCCAGCTGTCTTGGCCGTGTGTCTTCAGTAGTTGGGAAGATGAAATGTGAAATGGTCTCACAATCAAATGATTGCCCTAGCCTGCAAATAGGAATGAATAATCCCAACCTTTAGTGTCCTTGGTGACAGATAGGTACGTGGATAGGTGTAACAGGTAGACAGACCACTGTGGGGCGCTGTCTGGTTGTCCAAGTACTTCTAGATTTCCTCAAGGTCAGGAGCTGTGTGAATTAAGACTTTTTTTCCTTAAGGAACTGTAAAAAAAAATTACACAACCTTATCAGACCCAAAAGCTATAACTCTTGTTGCATAGGTCCTTCTTTACCTTGGTCTTAACCATCTAGCAGAAAAGTATAAAAACGAAATATAAGAAGTAGGGGACTCAGGTCAACAGTTTCTGACATTACCAGTGAAGCAGAAGACCCAATACTATTATGGACTACTGGACTCTTTTAGAATATTTTGCTGAGTT